GACCTCTCTCCCTCACTCAGTGCTGATTGCTAATATCAGTTGCTATTATCCATAGCATTCCTGCTTGATTTCTATAGGATTATACGAATTCTGATATGTAATCACATAGCCAGAATAATTATTAAAGGGTTATATTTTAGGTTAAAATAGTCATCAACAGATAAATATCCATATTAATAAGATGCTGCTGCACAACTCTTATTAGTAAACTGTTCCAGCATCATTAGTGTTTCATGGAACTTAAGGAATTATCTAATAATATATGGGCATTATATGTACTCTTTTTCCTTCAAAGTTGATTATTTTTTTCTCTTTTTGATTGATTTTTAATTTAAATTCATTTAATTAACATATAATGTATTATTGGTTTCAGAGGTAGAGTTCAGTGATTCATCAGTCTTATATAATACCCAATGCTCATTTTTAAAACCAAACCAAAGCTCACCAAAATTTTAACTGGCTTCAGCACTTTTCTAGTAATGATACCAGGGGCTCTTAAACGAATGGCTTCCAAAATACACCACTTGATTAGTGGGAGTTTCTTCAAGTCATCCTCAGATACTTTCATCTTATCTCTACCTGTAAAGAGAATTCCAAAAAATTTTTAAAAGGTGCACTTAAAGAAGCCAGAAAGTGATTTCATGGAAGATCATCAACCCACAGATTAGAAGCTGCCTCTGACAACAAGTGTTAGCATTGCTATTACTTTTTGCATACCAAGTTTAGTAACTGAGTGCCTCTTTTTATCATTTTCCTCTTACCAAGATCAAATGTATGGCCCCCAAAATTAAACCATTGTTGATTATTTCAAGGTGATGGACTGGGATCCAACCTTGGTCTTCACCTTCCTACAGCTATCAAATGATTAAGATAGGGTCCATCAGAAAAGTGTTCAATTTTCACTCCTTTCATTCTTTCTTGTCCATATTCTTCTTCTACTTAAGGAAACAGTGATAAAAGATTGGCATCAAAAGCATAAAGTAAAAGATCTGAGAAGCCATCTGCCTTACTACTTCTACCTCTTCCCTGATGATTCATTTTTATTTTTGCTTTTGATTTTTCAACCCTACATCTCAGAAGGCCCAAAAAGAACATGAGGAAAGGGACAATGGGGCACATGTATTACATCTGGAATGATGAGTTCTCCCTCTAAACATAGGTGTATCAAACACTCCTAATGTAATATGCATACTTCAGCTTATGTTTAGATTGAAGGCACCTGAAAAAGGATTGGGGTGAATCTTTTTATGACCCAAAATATGGTTAGGGTCTTTCAGTCCAATTAGACATTTCAGTTAATGGTATTTCAAATGAAATGTTTGCATTTTGAAAATTATTTAAAACAACTCAGCTTTCAATTTGATTTTGACAGTATTTGCTTAATAAAAGTCAACAATATTGTCAGTTTAGTTAAGTCAACTTTCACATTTGCTTCCCAACTGTATTGGGAATGAATGGGTTAAGAGTGAAATGTAAGGTCTCCAGGCATGTCTCTCTTACACTCTGGATAAGGCTAGTTCTAAAGCAAGCCCAGCCTACAGGAGAGGTCTAGGTGGGTGCTGCCTGGGAAATCTTATCTGTCAGTACATATGGAATTCCTGAGCAGTCAGAAGCAAATGTCTTTGGTGGAATCTGGGAAACAGGCTTTTTGAGCTATAGTTCTGTTAGTACCCATAGGGGCATCTATACATTCCATTCGACTTGACAGATTCTTGAGCTCTGAATAAGGGCCAGGAGTTGAGTTAGGCTCTACTAGAGTTACAACAATTAAGGCATTCTTGCAATATACTTAGGCTACTAGGAGGTAAGAGACAAGCACATGGTTAACTGGTACACCACACAAGCAAGGAAACTGTTCTGTGACATGTAAACTATTCCAGTATTTTGTTCTAATATAAAAGCAGGGAGGTTCATGACCAACTAAAGGAAAACCAAAAAATTCTGTGAGTGTCTTCCTCTAAAATTACAACTATAATTAGTTCTTTGCAGAGAGTAGACATTAGTAAATAAATATTGAATTAACAAATGGTCCAGCTTCAACATGGAGAGATAAATGAATGCATATTCCAGGCAAAGGAAAGAGGAAGAGTAAAAGGAAGACTGCAGAAAGCATGGGTATGTTCAGAAAATGGTAATGGGTGTAGAGGGCCTAGAAGGTGAGGTAAATGTGATGGAACAGTGAGAGATCCACTGAGGCCATTATAGGCCACCTTCAAGGCCATTCTGGAAAATGTGGAGACCAGGGAATTTGGGGACTTCCTGTCTTGGGCTAAGAGAGGATGAAAACTTCAACAATGAAATAGTGATACACAGCATTGTTCTCTTTTTTTTTTTTTTTAAGATTTATTTATTTATTTATTTGAGAGAGAGAAAGAGAGATAGAGAGAGAGTGGCATGGAGGGGCAGAGGGAAAGGGAGAGAGAGTTCCAAGCAGACTCTTCACTGAGCACAGAGCCCAACAAGGGCTCGATCTCACAACCCTGAGATTACGACCTGAGCTGAAACGAAGAGTTGGACACTCAACCGACTGCACTACCCAGGCACCCCCACAGCACTGTTCTTTATTAAGACCTTCTGCTCATTTGCTCAGACCTAAGTAACCTAATATTAAAGAGAGACAAATGTGGACTACTTGCTTAACCTTCACAGACAGTGTCTCGCAAAACTGTTGCTTTTGCTTTTCCATTACAAGGACTGGAAAATAATAGGTATGCCTTTTGCATCTTCACAACCTAAATATAACAGTTTTTGCAAATTGTGTTCTATGAAAGAACATTTTCAAGATGTCAAATGTTTAAAGCAGACAAAAGGTTTTATGGCCAACCAAATACCAGGAAATGTTAATATTCTATTGGTGATTCACTGAACACATTAGCATATTACAGGTTTTGAGAAATCCTGTAGTAGAGACAGCTATTTATGCCAACGTTCCCAAACTTTTTAAAACTCCCATTATCTATACAGGCATCATCAATAGCTATTTAACAAGGACATAAAAGATAATTAGCTATATAAAGTAATGGCTATGGATCCTAAGACAATCTTTCAAAAAAAACCCCAAAAACCAAAAAACAAACAAACCCTGGTTTTCATTTGTCTGAGCATTACCAGCACATACCATATGCCTGAGTGTGCCTGTGGCCAAATCCTCTAACAAGTAGTTATTGCAAGCCAAAGGCATTATTACCATCAGAAAACTATCTCGATATGCCATGGAAAGCTAATGGCACCAAAATTGTACTTCTTTACTCTTTTCTTGAAGTATCCCTGTACTTTCTAAGCTAATTCAGAAAAAATAATTTAGAAAATCCATGGTCGGAATTAGAAATTCTTTATTTGAAAAAAGGACTGAAATTGTTGCAAATGCCAGAGATATCACTACTAAATCAAATGAACAAATATCTTTTTGGCATTTAGTGGAGAGCAAAGTGCTAACTAAGCATCGCAGGGGATATAAGAAACTAAAGGCAAGGAAGGGTAAGTGCTTTCCCCAGACAGTGTTAAAATGAGGAATTCTGAGGTTCTAATTTATGAGTTTATAAATGACGCACAAACTTACAGCACTAACATGTGGTAGGTATTCAGTACAAGGTGGTATCTATTACTGTTACCATTATTATTAGTGTGAATTTAGTAATAACTCTAGAAACCACACCCTCCTGATCAACTTTTGTTCTATAGCTGATAAAATGATTCTTTTCCCTGAAACCTCAGTTGGGAGAAAAGCTACAGTTTGAGAGCCTATCCAATACTAATTGGATACCATGCCTGAGGAAGTCTTTCAATCATTCACCCAGCAGATATTTACTGAGAACCTCTGAGCAGTGTCCAAGTGCTGAGGATGAAGATGAATGGAAGAGCCCTGGCTCTTAAGGAGTTTATAGTCTGATAGAGAAGGCAAAGAACTAAAAGTAGTTAATATGGGGTAAGGGTTACTGCACTGAGGCACACAATGTGCTATGGGGCACAGTGGTGACAATGACCAGACTGGGGTCGGTGGGGATGGGTGGTTGCGAAGGAGATGTCAGAGAGGCTTCCAGAAGAAGTAAAACCAGAACAAAGGATTGGATACACCAAAGTGAAGGACATGTTCACAGAAGAGGAATTCAGCTAGCTGGAATAGAGTTCAGTGCAGGAAGTCACTAGATCAAGGGACTTCAGTGCTCCACTGAAGTCCCAGGCTGCCCATACCAGCTGAAGCCAGAGCTAGTGAGAGATGGCTCCTTTATCCAACCTCTGAGTGTGACCCAGGAGTGCCTAGGTTTCATTTCTGGGCCTTCTCTTCTCTAGGTAGATTCTTTTTCTTGGGGATTCAAACAAATGCTTTTCTATAAAATACCACCAACAGGCTGGTCATACCAAGAATTTTTCTTCTGCCTTTGATCACCTTTCTGAGATCCATCTTATGTTTATCCAACTGGCTTCTTGATAGCACTGCTTGGATGTCTAAAAGACATCTTGAAGCATGCTTTGGCCAACATCGAACTCTTCATTTTCCCCACCAGAATAAAGCCTTTCCTCCCTTGGTCTTGCTATCACTGCAAATGGTAGCAAAATTTGTGCAGTTGCTCAAGCCCAAGTCATCCATGATTCATCCCTTTCCCTTTTACTCCCATTTAATTAATCACCAAAACCTGTTGTTTCTATCTGCCAAATAGATCTTACTGCCATTCACATCACTCCATCTCCATAGCTATCACTCTTGTCCAAATGCACCATCATTTTTCAGCTGGCCCATGGTGATAGCCCCCATCACGCTCCTTGCTCCCACCTGGCTCTGCTATCATCCTTACGTAAATCAGACCAGGTCAGTACCCTGTGCAGATCCCATTGAAGGCTTCAATGCTATTTAGAATTAAATCCAAAATTCTTACTTTGGCAAATGAGACCCCCATCTAACACTCTAATCTCATCACATACTGAATCCTGGGGGCTGTGTGACCTTTATAAATGATCCAACCTCTTTGTGCTTCAGTTTGCTCACCTACAAAATAGGAATAATGAAAGTATCTGCCCTATATGGTTGTTGTGAGGATTAAAAAAGTTAATACATGTAAAGTTCTTACAACTATGACTGGCATATGGCCAAAACTCAGTAAATGTAACCATCATCATTATTATTATTTCTTCTGCCTTACTCCAACTGTTTGAAAGGCTAGCTCCTTCTTATCCTTCAGACCTCTGCTAAAATATTTTCTCCTCAGGAAGCCCTTCCCTTACCAGCTAATGTCTCCCAAATCACTAGCATGCTGTTTTGTTTCCTTTAGATTTCCTGTTAATATATGAAATAATTTGGCTTATTGTTGATTGTTGGATATGATGTCATGTTTTTCACAATCTTGTTCTTTCTATTTTTTGATGTATCCTTAGTATCCAGCACACTGTCTGGCACGTGGTAGGTACTTGATAAATTTTTACTGAATGAGTAAATGGATAAATGTCTAAAATAGTGGAGGGAGAAATCAATTAAGAAGTTTTTATTTTGTGTAACAACGATGGGAGGGATGCAGAGGAGAAGTCAAATTTTAGAGACATTTCTGAGGGAGAATGTGAGAATCTTTAAATAAATAAGAATTTAC